AAATAAATATTAAAAATTCTCTCTCTCTCTCTCTCTCTCTCTCTCTCTCTCTCTCTCTCTCTCTCTCTCTCTCCTCTCTCACTCTCTCTCTAAAAAAGAAAAAGAAAAGTTTAATGTATTCTATCTCCAACAACCAGGTTATTTCTTGGGCTTAGAGGAGAGGTAGAGTACTGTTTTTATTATAAATCACCAATATACATTAAGTCTTTAAATCCATGGCCACCATTTAAATTAGGTATATTTTAAAAACATCACTTCATCTATAAAACTGACTAAAAATTTAATGGTTCTTAATCCTGAATCAAACACAAGATTCTGTGAAAATTAGCCCTGATATTACACACTGGTCTGTGGTGTCCCAGAAAGCATTTTGAAGGTCAATTTCATAATACCTACTGAAACCAAAAGCATACACAATTGATGATCCAACAATGCCACATCTAGAAATATATTTTATAAAATTAGGAGTCAGACACATTAGAATATGTTATTTATGTACATTACTGCATTGTATGTAGTACCAAAAATAAGAATTTAAAACTGTTAACCTATATTTCTCAAAATAGAGAAACAGATAAATCCATTGTCCTATGTACTTAGCATCCAATAAAAGGTCTGTAGGTGAACCATTTATTGATTCAGGAACATATCCATGATAAACAGAAAATTACAAAATAACATATTACCACAATGATCACACATTTATAAATGAATTGAGAATAAATTACACATAAGCTTACAAAAGCTAAGAAAAGTTATTGACTACTTTGTATGCCACAAATGGTTAATTCTAATGAAAACTGAGAAATAGGGTTGTAAGATGAAAGATGATGATCCCTTACTGCTACATATTATTGAATGATATTCATTCTTGGTGGCCACATTTCAATGTACTACAAGTTTAAGGGCAAAGGAGGCTAAGAAAAATAGATAACACTCAACTTAGCTTTAGAGCTAAAGTAGAGCCATATTCCATGCATGCATGTTATGCCAAAATGAACCCCCAAATTACATATAACTATAATCCCCCAATAAAAACATAAAATGTTTATCTCTCCCATTTTTTAAATTTTACATTTCATAAAGTTGAGATTTCAGAAAATTGACATGCAAAGAGATAATATTCCTTCTTGTTTCTGTATCTTCCTACCTTCACAATAAAATTAAACCTATGCTTTAGGCAGGGGACAGCAAACTAACTATAGCCTGTAGTAGAAATCTGGCCCACCACCTATTCTTTGTAAGTACATTTTATTAGAATGCAGTAATATTCATTTGAATCAGTCATAGCTGCTTTCACATTAGTGGCAGAGTTGTATATTTGCCACAAACTGTAGGATTTATCAATTCTGTTCCATTAAAATTTTGCCAGTCCCTAAAATAGACTAAAAATACCAGATTGTTAGGTATTTTTTGACTGGGTACATATTTTGTTTTTTTTGTTTTTTGTTTTTTTATTGGTTATTCAAAACATTACAAAGCTCTTGACATATCATATTTCATACATTAGATTCAAGTTGGTTATGAACTCCCAATTTTACCCCAAATACAGATTGCAGAATCACATCTGTTACA